GGTGAGCAGGGGAAGCTGGCCGGGCCAGCAGGGGGTCTGCTGTGTGGTGCCAGCCCCCGCTGCTGCCAGGCCTCTGCTGGGCCGCCCCTCCTCCCCTGCTCCTGCGTCTGCTCCTGGGGCCCAAGGGGCATGTTTGGGGGAGCACACCGCGGACGCCCACAGTCGGACCTCTCTGGAACTCTACCGGGGCTCAGGAATGGGGTGGCCACACTCTCCTGCCACCCCCCATCAGTCCTGGGGTGCAGCTGCAGCAGGTGGGGCATTGCACCTGACAGAAGGGTTGATGCAAATCCCCACCCTGGTGCAAGCCTCGGCAGGGGCCGCCAGGGAGGGCGTGGTGACGCTGCACAGCCACGGGTCACCAAGGTGTCCATGCGAGGTCCACTGCCTGCAGCGTCTGGGCCGGGGCAAGCTAAGGCTGGCACCTGCAAGCTCAGTCCAGGGCTCCCACGCGGGCAGCAGGGACTGAGCCATCACCATGGCCTCCCGGGGTCAGCACTGGCAGGAAGCCAGGACTCCATCCCGGGATCCAACCCAACGGGGGCTGCCCGTGTCGTGGCGGATGCCCTAGCTTTCTGTTCTCACACAGAAAGGAGGAGGAGGAGGAAAAGACAGAGGAGGAGGAGGCGGAGAGGAAGGAAGGAAGGAAGAAGGACCTCCCCACCAGGCAAGGCTGTGCCCGCTGGGACGGAGAGGAGGATAAGAAGGCTTCTTCAGGCGCCCCGAAATACATCCCACCCGTGGCTCGGCCCTCCTAAGCCGACGCTCAACCCCACCCTGCCCTGCCCCCTGCTGGCCAGCCCAAAAGTGGCAGGCACGTGTCCCTAGGCTGTCCCTGTCCCTCTCATCCACAGCCCCCGTGGGTTACAGGGCGTCTACCCCCAGAGTCTACGCAAAACGCGCTCAGCCCTGGCCCAGCACACGCTTCCCTGCTGCCCGTGGTGCTGGGATCCGAGCTGCACCGGCCACGGCTCGCGGAACCCTGCTCTCTGGAGATGCCTTAGTGGCTGGGGTCTGGGGTTAATGGCGTCCTATCCCTTCTTGGTCTGCAAAGGCCCCGCAAGGTTCTGCGTGCGTTGGGACGATGCCTTCCCACTCTGACACAGGCCTGCTGCGTGCGCCCCAGGGCACTGGGACCTGGGGGACCCAGCACCCGACTAACAGGGAGGCCCCCTGGATTGGAGCTAGCACTTGGGCGCAGGTGCTGAGGGTGTGTCCCCGGGAGGCCAAGCCTCAGCTTCCTCGTCTGTAAGAGGCGCGATGGTTCCCACCTCACGGCCTCCTACGAGGCACAGAGCAGGTGTGCGGTTAACAGTGCGGACCGAAGCCCCGAAGGTGAGCCTCGCCTCGCCATCGCCATCGCGCGGTCGCGGCCGGTCCTGCCGGGACCGCAGACAGGTCCACAGGAGAGCAGCGGAAGAACCCAAGGTGTACTGGACACAGGAGCCCCCGGGACCCCGGGACGTCCTTCCGCTTCTGTCCCGCGGGAACTGACGGCTGCGTAGACACGGACAGGAGGGCGGGATCGATGTGACAGACTCGGGGCGGCGGGGCGAGGGCTCTGTTCAGCGTCTTCTCGGCCCCTCTGTGGCGTTCCTTTCCCTGCGTGTGGGGCAGGACCCCCGGGAACGGGGTCTTTGAGGGGGACAGGCCAGTCCCACTGACCCCACCACGCACCCCGAGACGCAGGGCATTGCTGATGAGCAACCAGAGTGGTTCGAGCCGGCTCCGGTGGCACAGCGGGTGAGCGGCAGAGCCCGCCCTGGGGCTGGACGCGAGGGCTGGGAGGAGCACCAGCGGAGCCCTGCCTGCCTGCTCCAGCCTTTGCCCCTCGTCCAGAGCGCGCTGACCTGACCAGGAAGAGCCTCTGCGCTCGCCCCGGGCCCCTTCGCGCACGCCGATTCCGTCACCGCGGCGCCTGCCGCGCCTGCTCAGAAGTCAGTCTGCTGGACCGAGGCCGCCGTGCCCGGGATGCTCGGGACGATGCTGCCACCTGGTGGCCATTCCCTGTCCCTGCACGGCTGCACTGAGGGCTTGAGTTCCAGGGATGCTGGGCACACACAGCTGTCACTCATGACTACGACCCTCTAACTGCCCTCATCACAAATACAAATCCAACCCCCCCTCACTCATCTGCGTGCTGCATGCTGGTTCAACGGCCCCCTCTAGATAGTTCCAGTTCTCCTGGAAGTGCCAGCCCAGGTCCCCTGTCTCCCCTCCATCACGGCCATCCCCAAGGTCCATAGGGTGGGTAACGCCCGAGCAGCGTCCTCATGGCCTTGTGGCACCGTGAGCTTGCCTGGCTGAAGGGCACCGGCCGGCTGGTGAGAACGGTGAGCTCCTGACCACACCCCCCCCAGCTGGCCCTGCCTCCTGCCCCCACGTCAGAGGCAGTGCCAGTCCTCAGCGCCGTGTCGGCCTGCATCAGCTCCTGCTTCTGTGTGCTTTCGACAGGGAAGCCCCTTCTCCCCAGCACTCTCCCTCTGGGCCAGCCCCCCACACCTGCTCCCCGTCTCCCACCGCCACCAGCACCCTCCCCGCGGTCTCCCACCTCGAGTCCCTTTGCAGACAGCGCCACGTGTGCAGACTGCAGCCGGTGAGGTCACTGTGGTGACTTCTCTCAGCGTGGCTGTCACACTCCCCACGGCCCCCACTTCCGGCCTGGAGAGCTCCCATTACTATTGCTTTTCATGTCTGTCTGTGGCCCCTTCAGAGGGTGCTCCCTGGGTCTGGTGTTCTGGCTCCGTGGTCATCCCTCTCCCTCCCTCTACCCCTCCCCCTCCCCTCCCTCTGTTCTGTGGCTTCTGTGAAGAACTTAGCCATGGGTCGCAGCATCCCGCATCGGTGCACTGATTCAGGTCCTGGCTGCTCTGCCTCCAACCTTGCTCCCTGCTAGTGCACCTGGCAAAGCAGTGGTGGGTGGCCCAAGTGCCCGGGCTCCTGCCACCCATGTAGGAGACCCAGATGGGGTTCCTGGCTCCTGGCTTCATCTGGCCCAGCCCTGGGAAGTGAACCAGCGGCTGGAAGATCTCTTTCTCTGTGTCTCTGTCTCTCACTCTGTCACTCTGCCTTTCAAATAAATAAATACATGTTTTTAAAAAAGTTAATGACTGATTTTCTAAAAGACTTGTTTATTTATTTTTTTTATTTATTTATTTATTTTTTTTTTTATTTTTTTTATTTTTGACAGGCAGAGTGGACAGTGAGAGAGAGAGACAGAGAGAGAAAGGTCTTCCTTTTTGCCGTTGGTTCACCCTCCAATGGCCGCCGCTGCAGCCGGCGCACCGCGCTGATCCGATGGCAGGAGCCAGGATCCAGGTGCTTTTCCTGGTCTCCCATGGGGTGCAGGGCCCAAGCACTTGGGCCATCCTCCACTGCACTCCCTGGCCATAGCAGAGAGCTGGCCTGGAAGAGGGGCAACCGGGACAGAATCCGGCGCCCCAACCGGGACTAGAACCCGGTGTGCCGGCGCCGCAAGGTGGAGGATTAGCCTATTGAGCCACGGCGCCGGCTAGACTTGTTTATTTATTTGAAGGTAGAATTACAGAGAGAGAAGGAAAGGCAGAGAGAGAGAGGAGAGATGTTCCATCTGCTGGTTCACTCCCCAAATGGCTGCAACGGCCAGGGCTGGGCAGGACCGAAGCCAGGAGCCGGGAGCTTCGTTTCCAGCTGACGCCGGCCTCCGGAAGAGCAGACACACAGAGGCCCTGGTCTTCCTGCGGGGAGTCAGCTTCAGCCTATGCCAGGGGCTGGGGCTGGGGGCCAAGCGACTGGTGTCAGATTTCGGGGGTCTGCTCTGGGTCCTGTGGGCACCTTCCCCGGCCTGCAGCCCTCGGGCCCCGTCAGAGCCTGGGGGATTTGCCAGGGCTCCCCTCTGCCTGGGCCCCCAACTCCCACTTCTTTTGTCTCTGGGGAGGACATTGTCCAAGCTTGGTGCACGCCTATGACCACACCCCCTGCACCTCCCCCTCCCCAGTACAAGTCCCCTCCTCTGCCTCAGGAGCACAGAAGAAGTCTCCCCTCACCTCCCCCCTTGTCCCAGCTCATAGCCTTGCCTTATTTAAAAAACAAACAAACAAACAAACAAACAAAAAAACCGAGTTCTATGCACTCGTTATGGTCCGTCTTCCTTCAGCAGCTTAGTGCCGTAACATGTTGCCTAATACTAGCCTGACTGCATGGGGCTGTGACCGACCCTGGCCAAGCGGCCACACCAGCCCAGGCACTCTGGAGTCGGGGTCCTGGCCCAGGTGGGCAGGGGCCGACTGTGCTTAGATGTGGACGGCCAGGAGGCGCGTCCCTGCCTGCCCGTCTCCCAGCAATGGTAGTGGGGTCAGTTCTGGAGGTGAGAGGAGGGCATGGCTGGAGCGTGTTGGGGGAGGGGTCACCAGCTGTCGCAGAAGCACTGGACTGGGAGTCGGGAGAGGATGGGCTCTGCCTGGGAAGGGAAAGCCTGGGACATCCCTGATGTGGTCAATCCTTGAGAGCTTCGTGATGTCGGGATGTCTCGGAAGCACGGGGCTGCTGCTCCTCCTGGGCTGTATAGACAGGCACGTGGTGCAGGGCCCCAGGCTCTGGGCCATCGTCTGCTGTCTTCCCAGGTGCAGTAGGAGGGAGCCGGATCAGAAGCGGAGCAGCGAGGACTCGATCCGGCGCTGCCATGCGGGGTGCTGGCCCCCGCTCTCCTAACATCGACGCGTGTGTGTTACCGCACCTCACCCTCACTGTGTGTCTGTGGGGAGGGCCGTGTCGCCCCCCATGTGGGAAATCCGAGGTGATTTCCTCACGGGCACGTGGGGAGCAGACGGCAGGGTCTGGCTTTACACGGTCTTGCAGACGCCAGCACTCGCTCCCTGACCTGCGGCTGAGCTGGGACTCTGCACCATGCTAGCTTCCGTTCCCCAGTCTCCTCGGGACCAGGCCCTCCCTGGGCTCATACCCACCCACCCTCCCCGACACCGCTGATGGCCGAGACAGCCCGGTTTCATGAGAGCACAGACGGCCAAGCCAAGCCATGGGAGGGACCGGGGCACTGGGCAGGAGGCCGAGTGGCTGTGGGGTGGGCTGTGGGAGCTGTGCAAATGCTGGGAGAGCCTTCGGCTTCTTGTGCTGGTGCCCAGGGACAAAGCCAGCTCGTCCAGAGAGAGTGAGAACCCTCAGCGAATGCCTGCTGTGAGTACTGAGCAGAAGTAGTGAGCTCCCCATCTCTGGAAATACGCAAGCAGAGGCTGGGCACGCCCTTGCTTGGGGCCTTCGTGGAGATCCTGGCATCAGGTGAGGATGGATTCAGCCGCAGCCAGGGACCCCCTCGCTCATCCCGGAAGTCCATGAGGGGGCCCTGATGGACCCCTGTGGTTCAGTGCACCCTCTGAGGGCTGCTGCGGTATTCAGGTGTGGGTGCCAGGCACCTGTCCCCGGGCACTGGAGGTAGGGGAATTGTTGTGACCCAAAGGCCCAGTAGCCAAGACTACCCTAGGTTTCATCAGGCACAGAGCGGCTCCTGGGGAGAGGACTGGCCTCACCACCAACCCACGGAGGGACGCGGGAGGGAAGTAGCTGGGCCGGGCACCACGGTCCCCCTGATGCAACCCGGAGAAAGCAGCATGGAGGCAGTTTGTAGAGAGGCCAGGGCCAGGGCTCGGGACCATGTCCCCGCTGCACACCGGAACCTGCATCACCAGGATCCCATAGGAGCGCCGGCTGGGATCCTGGCTGCTCCACTTTCGATCCAGCTCCCGGCTAATGCACCTGGGAAGGCAGCAGAAGATGGACCGAGTGCTTGGGTCCTCCTGCCAGCCACCGGGGAGACTGGAATGAGATTCAGGCTCCTGGCTTCAGCCTGGAGCCCTGGCCATTGTGGACGCTTCAGAGTGGACCTGCAGATGGAAGATCTCTTGCTGCCTTTCAAACGAAGTAAACTTTTTTTAAAGGCACTCCTCCTCTGCCCCAGAAAATTAGCACCAATACGGATTTATCAGAACAAATCCCGTACCCTCAACTGCTAGAAACATCTGTATCAACATGGAGACCCACAGGTGGCCGTTGGCTCAGCGGCTGACAATGCCTAGGACGCCCGCATCTGGTGCTGCAGGGCCTGGGTTCGAGTCCCAGCTCCGAGCCCAATTCCACTTCCTGCTAACACACACCCTGGAGGCAGCAGGTGATGGCTCAAGTCCTTGGGTCCCTGCCTCCCGAGTGGGAGACCTGGATGGAGCTCGTGCTCTGGGCTTTGGCCTGGCCCAGCCCTGGCCCTAAGTCCTTGTGGCAGGCATGCCGGGAGTAAACCAATGCATAGGAGCTCTCTCAGATAAAGAAAAAAATTAAAAATCCTGCCCAGAGTTCCCTTCTGCCTGCACACCACCCTCAGTGAAACGTGCCCCGAGCCCCTCCCAGGCGGCCTGGGTGGACTGAAATCCAACTCCTGAGCGGACCCAGGGCTGTACCGCCTGGTGCGCAGGGGCCAGCACTCAGATGCAGCTCGGGCTCCAGGCTGCGGTGTGACCGTAGGGCAGCCACCCCCTCTCTGGGCCAGGATTCCCTCTGTGGGACGAGGTTGTTGAGCTGGGATGGTTCCCAGGGCTGAGAGAGCTCGGACAGGACAGGGACACCCCCGCCAGCCTGCGGCAAGAAGACAGAATACAAGTGGCATTTTTTTATTAGACTAGGAAATATAATTTATTTCATAAAAATTAATTTGTTACAATAGGAATGCTAAACGTTATTTACAGGTTGCTGTTTACAGAATAAACAGGGCTGGGACTGGGGTCACCCCTGGACACACAGCCACGGCCAGGAGACCGTCCCCTGGTCACCTCCTGGGAGCCGGGGGCAGGGGACCAGAGGCCCTGGGTGGTGCCCTGCAGGAGGACCCTGCCCCTGAGCTGGAGACCTGTGAGAGAAGGCGGAGGGAGAGGCACGAAGAAGAGACACCAACCTACCCTGTGGGCTCAGGAGGGCAGAGCAGGTGCGCCCACCTCCACATGTTCCCCAGGGCGCCCTGATGTGCCCGCAGAGAAGAAAGCACACACGCACACACACACGCACACGCACACCCCAGAGACATGAGACAGGAACAGCGTGAGCGGCCCTGCAGGTCCCCATGGCGTCTACCATGCAGGGCTGTCTCAGGTCTGAACAAAGAAGCAGGCAGTGGGGGCGTGCAGCCTCAGCCAGCCCTGCATGGCCTCCCCGGCAAAGCCAGGCAGTTTGAACCCTCGAGGGGGCCTCAGCCAATTGGCCCTGCGCTCCAGGCCAAAGTGCACAATTTCTGAAAGTAAGATAGGAAGTGGCACTTGGGTGGCCGGTTGGGCCTCTTCGCTAAGAGCTCCCAGCCTGGGGCCAGGACAACAGGTGAGAGGCAAGGGACAGTGAGGAGGGGCAGTCAGGCCAAGGTCAACTTCTACCCACTGGGGCTCCCTTTGGAAGCCCCGGAAACTGGGCGAACCCCACGGGCTGCAGGCGGCAGCTGTGGAACCTTCTAGATGTCAAAGCACACAGAGGCCCGGAGAGGCAGTGGCATGCCTGAGGCCACACCGCAGTTTCCAGGCAGAGCGGGGGCCGGGTTCCTGACTTCAGACTCCTGGGCTACACTCCAGGGTCTGCAAGCAGATGACGGCCTGAACATTGTGAGGGCACGCGTGGGCTCCGGCCGGGCGGGCTGCCCTCATGTGGGCTCGGGCCACCGGGAATGGCGCCTTCGGCGGGGCAGACAGCAAGCACATGAACCAGGGCTGAGAGCCTTGGAGTTACTGCCGGCACCCAGGTGTGGCCCGGCCCCTGAGGCAGGCCCGGCCCTGCCAGCAGGCCCTGATGGAAGGAATCCTCTCTCACACCTGTAGGCAGGTCCTGGTCTGCCCACGGCCAACCCTGGCCCAGGTTGCTGGGCCGCAGGTGGGGACTGCTGCTGGGACCCTGTTCCCCTCCCTGGCCCGCTTCCAAAGGCCACGAGGGACCTGCCGGGGCAAGCCCTGGGGCTCATGCCCAGCGCTGCTGGTGGGGAGCTGGCGCTTGCCTCGCCGTGGGCGCCAAGGAGAGGCCTTTGATGAGGTGCCTGTGCCCAGGGTGTGCAGGGGGCCTGGTCCCAGCCACACCAACTGAAGAGACGGGACGCTCCCCACTCAAGCCCCCGCAATGTCCCAGAGCAATGTGGGGGTGGTGCTGTGTGCCAGCCCTCCCCCACCCCGGGCGCCCAACCCATCCTGGAAGGTTACCTGGAAAGTCTCCCAGTCGGCAGGGGTGTGGGGGGAGGAGCTGAGCAGTGGGAGATGGCTGCCCACCTGCTGCCTCCACTCCCAGCCAGACCCCAGCCCCGCCTCCCACGCTCCTGCAGCTGGACAGGCCTGTGGGCCACTGCTTCTGTAGCCCAGCAGGAGACACGGAGGCCAAGGAAGGGCAGCTCTGGACTGCCGGCCTGCTCCAGTCCACCTGGCCTGGAGAATGCTGGGTGGGGTGTTCTGGAGGCCCTGCGCTAAGGGTACAGCTCCCCAGCGCCCCAGGACACAGGCTGACCAGGGAGGCTTCTCCAGCCCCATTTCTGGACCACACCCTCTCCAGGAGCCGCCAGACCATAACATTCTCCTTGGCTCACAACAGGCCTGCTCCGCCCACATTTTCCACCCCAGTGCCTCTAACTTGGATTCCCAGGAGCCTGAGAGGCACCTGCCTGGGGCCGTAGGGGAGGGAGGACCCCACCCACGCCATCCCTGGGCTCCCCCTGGCTTGAGACCTGAGCGGGAAACTTGGTACCGTGGCTACAGCCCTGTGTGACCCGCACAGCTGGGGAGGCCGAGGCCCTGCCGGAATTCGGACCGGGCGCATTCATTAGCAGCAAAGAATTCCGCCTTCAGTCTCTGTCTCCCCGACCCGCATGTCGACACACCCACACACGCACACGCATACGTACACTCACTCGTGCCCACGCAAGAAAAGAGTTTTCTATTTTTTTGTGTTGTTTTTCATTTTCTTTTTTTTTTTCTTAAAAAGGACTTATCCAAATATCTGGATAATAAATCATTTGCGTTTCCTAAGAAACTGGGTTTTCCTGTCCCTTGTGGTTTTGGTGTTTTTCTTCTTTGAGCCTTATTAGTGGTCTGAAGCTTCCTATTTCTGCTTTTCCTTTTTGCTTTTGGATGGGACCAAGTCTGTCTGAGTTGTACTTGACCTTGCAAAGAGGGGAAGGGCGTGAAAGCAGAGGGGGAGAAACCAGTAACCAAGGCAGAAAGTGAAGAATGAGCTGAAACAGAACCTCTGAGTCCGGCAGTCACAGGGCCGAGGCTGGGGGAGGAAGGAGGCCGCCCCATGCCCCCTGACTGGCCCCAGGGCCCTCAGTCCCAGCCCTGCTCCTCTCTGAGGTTCCCACGTGGAGGCCTGGGGCCTGGAGAGATGGCAGGGGACGCAGAGGGAGCGGGACCCTGTCAGCAACAGAGGACGGAGATCTCTAAGGCTGGTCGTGGTCTGGGGCTTGGGCGGGAGGGGTCTGGAGGAGGAGGCCGGGGTCCCAGCTGTGAGCCGGCGGCGGCAGAGGCGGCAGTCCCCTCCCGGAGGCTGCCCCGCGCCTCCCGCACCGCCTGCCGCCGTGGTCCCAGGCGCTCAGCAGTCGCCGTCGGTGGCCATGGCCACCAGCATCTCACTCTTGCCCATCTCCTCCAAGGCACTGGCCAGGCTGTTGAGGTCCCCGTCGTCCTGCTGCAGCGCTTCCCAGAGGTCCAGGATCACGCCCGTGGGGCTGGCTTTGGTGGCAAAGTAATTCAGGTACCTGGCGGAGGGGAGGGGAAGGCGTTGGGCACCCTGAGCACTCGGCACGTCCCCGGCAGAGAGGCAGGAGGGCCGAGGCTCCGGGCTGCACGGCCCCGGGTCCCGCTCGTAGGCTGCACTGCACCCCCCTGAGCCTCGGTCTCCCCGCCTCTCGAGTGGGAACAATGCCAGTCAGCGTTCATCGCTGCACACAGGCCTAGCATTCTCCCCAGCACGCAAGCAGCTTGTCCATCGTCATCACCACTCGAGACGCTGGCACCAGGGGAGGGCTTCTGAGCCCCGCGACCCTCACTCCTTCCTGACCTCGGCCGGAAGAACGCCTCAGCCATTTTTCTCCCCCACCCCAACCTTAGTAAGACGGCATAGTCAAAGCCTCTGCTCCGCGCAGGTCGCTCACAGGTGTTCTGTGGATAAATGCAATACGCCAGCCGCTGCGTTTATCCAGCACTTGGAGTCCTCCCAACGAGCTCTGGCACCAAGGTGTGTGAGCAGCCGGCCACCCAGCGGGCACTTCCACAACACCTGCTCCGCCCCGGGCGCATGCCTGGCTGCAGCTGATTCTCTGTCCATCCCACGAGGTGGGTGGGTGTTATGTAGGGACTTCCAGAAAGTTCAGGGAAAGTGGAACTCAAAGATTAGTTCATTTAGATGCAAGAAATATTGAAGTCCACGCACACATATGGGATCTTCAACAAGTTCATGGGAATCACATTTGAAAAAACTGTGCAGGGACTTCAATATGTGTTTGCACCCAGATAAACTCATCTTATCCCTCTGCTTTTCCAGGAACTCATCTTCGCACAGGTCGAGATCAGAGCAGGGCCCGGCCAGCGTGGTGGCCGTCTCCAGCCCGCCTGGCTCGGGCACCCGTGCCCTGAGCACGGGCCTCGTCAGAGCAATAGCACCCTCCCTGAGGCCCAGCACACCCACACCCGCTGCCAGCCGTGGCCCACGGGAGGCCAGCGTGGAGGGCTGTGGGCTGGGTCGCTCACCGGTCCATGGAGAGCTTCTGTGCCAGCAGCCGCCAGTCGTTGCCCCGCGCGTTGGGGGCATCAAGGCTGTTGCATATCTTCTGGCGGATGGACAGCGGGATCTTGAAGGCGTACGGTCCCAGCTGGGTGGTCACGGCGCTGCCAGGGGCAGAGCAGAGGGCGTCCAGGGAGCCTGCTGGCGTCTGGAAGGGCAGAGGCCAAGAGTGAGGGGGCCCCAGCGCTGGCCACCTGCACCTGCAGCTTCCCGCCTGGGACCGAGGGCTCGCTGGGGCTGCAGGCGCCACGTGCTTCAGTTCCCGGGAACACAGGCTGCATGGCTGCCCCGGTGAACGCACTGCCGGGGCCCAATGTGGGTGCAGCCTCGGAGTCAGTCAAATCCACGCCGACTCAAAGAAGCCCAGAAAGCCGGAGTGATGCGTCCAGCGTCATATCCATGTGGGGGGCAGGGCTGGGCCAGACCTGGGTCTAGGCTCCACCCTGTACTCCAGGGAGGAGCCAGCACTGGCACCCTGGGGCAGCCTGGGCTTGGGATCCTCAATCCAGGGCCATGGTGATGAGAGCCCCAGGCTTGGTCCTCGCAGCAAGCTGGGCTCAGAGCCAGCCTGGCCACCTGTGTGGCTGGGTGCAGACCTCCTTCCCTGTGGCCCACTGTCTCATGCCCTTGGGAGTTCATCACGTGGGTCTCCCCAGTGGTGTGGAGAGGCAGTGAGATGGCGTGTGTCGCCTGGGGCGGGCCAAGCACACAAACAGCATCAGTGAGTGTCAGTTGTCAGCCAAAACCCACTCAGCCCGGCTGAGCCTTGGGAGGTGAGGGGATGGCACGTGAGCCCGTGGCGAGGGAGCGAGGCGTGCACGCGCGGCAGGCCCAGCCCTGCGGCGGCGCCCCGAGCCTCACCTCTGCCAGCGTGGTGTGCAGCTGGAAGATCTGGCCCTCTCCTTCCACCTGCCGCACACAGATCTTGCAGCTGAACTCCGTGGCGGCCAGGCTGTGCCTCTCTAGGGTGAACGTGCAGTGCAGAGCCTTCGGGCTGCCGCCCCACACGTGACAGAAGGGGATCTCCTGTGGAAAGGTGGGTCAGTGCCAGGCAGAGGAAGACCTGGCCCGCTGTGTCCATGCCAGGCCCTCTGTTCCAGAATGCAGCTGAGAAGGGGCACTGGGGAGGGTCAGGTTCAAGGTTGAAGGTTCGTGCATGTGCAGGTGTGTCAGGCTGGGAAACCCCCATGACCCCACGCTGCCACACCCGCCGAGGACGACGGGCACAGGTGTTTGGGCACGTGAGCGTGAGGGGGCTCAGGGGCCAGAGTGCAGCTGTGGGCGGCACCGAGTTCAGACTGGCAGTGAAGAGAGCAGGGTGGAAGGGAGGCCCCGGGCCCGCCGCCAGCCCACCCCCTCCTCCAGCTCAGCCCTCACCTGGTACTTGGCCAGCAGCTTGCTCCTCCAGTGGGCGTGCGGGATGTCGTGGAGGGAGAGGCGCAGGTTGTGGTAACTGTCCTTGAACAGCAGGGGTTTGGGCTCCTCCACCAGGTAGCCGCCCAGCGTCCGCTCCAGCTCCAGCACCTCCTACAGGCGGGGCGAGGGAGGGAAGCCCTGAGCAGGGTGCTGCTCGCGGGCTTGCCGTGGGGATACGCGAAAGCAGGGACGCCAGGGCACAGGAGCTCACGGACACCTTGCTGGGGAGGTGGGCGACGCACAGACGGACAGAGATGGCTATACAATGGGAAATGCATTGACAGAAGGACAGATGGAAGGAAAGACACACGAATGGACAGACGGAGGATGGCTGGGGGAACAGACAGGCCTTGACGGAATGAGAGTATGAGCGTGCAGCTGGATGGAGCACAAACTGGGCCCTGTACCTGTACCTGCAGGGTCAATGCCTCAGGACCGCCTGAGTGATGATGCGGGGAAGGGGAGCCCGGACGGTACCACGAGCCCAGGGAGGGGGTTGCTGGGAGGGACCATGCAGCTGGCCAGCCGGGGGTGACTGCCCTTACCTTGAGGGCCACAGGCGTGTCCTGCAGGCAGTAGACCCTGAGGCTGTACTCCAGGGAGGTGCACAGGGCAGGGGCGAAGATGGCCAGCTGCAGCCGCTTGACCGCTGAGCGGGAATAGGACTCGCCAGTGAGCACGTAGGTGCCCAGCTGGTCCAACAGGATGTGGCACGAGCTGGCCTCCAGCTGGCAGTAGCAGGGGGTGTTGAGGGTCTCCTCGTCCAGGGTCACCACCTCCTGCAGGGGACAGCGAGTGTGTGTGCATGGGAGGTAGACGGTCATGTCAGCCAGGCCGGGCTGGGCTGGGATTACGCGGGCTTCCCCGGCCTCCCCAGACCCCCCAGCCACGGCTCCTCACCTCCCAGTGGCCCTGGTGGGCCTGGGTCTTGAGCTGGAAGATCCAGTCGCCAGCACTGACTTGGGCGCAGTGGGGGACGCTGAGGATGACGGGGCGGCACAGCAGGAGGCCCGTGGGCCCGCAGGTCACCGAGGGGCTCAATACTGTCTGGGTCCCTTCTGAGAGTGGGCTGGGGGCAGGGCAGAGGGCGCTGGTGAGATGAGCCTGCAGACCCTGGCTGGGCCTGCAGGGGACACAGGGCGGGGCTCAGGAGCCCCACAAGTCACGGGAGGGGGGCAAAGGAGGTGGAGAGAACGGCACAGACCTAGAGTTTGCACCCCCAGATGCTCACAGCCCCAAAGGCTCTGCACCCACAATGCTTCTCCCAGGGGCTGCCAAACTGCCCTCGGGAAAGCTGGAGCCCACACCCCAGTGCTCCCCGTGAGGGCCGGGTCCCCATGAACGCACTAATGTTTGAAAAACATCCTTGGAGCAGACAGAGCGGGCTAAGCCTCTGCTCGGGACACCTGAACTTGGGTCGCCTGGTCTGAGTCCTGGGAGGCAGCAGGCAGTGGCTCAGGTCCCTGGGCCCCTGCCTCCCACGTGGGAGACCTGGGTGGTGATCCAGCCTCCTGGCTTTGGCTGGGCCTGGTCCCAGCTTTCAGGGACAATTGGAAGAACTCTCTCTCTCTTTCACTCTGCCTTACAGATAAATAAATAAGCACTTTCTTTAAAGTATCACCATTCAACTGATTTTAAAAAATCCTTGCAAATTTCTTGAGCAAAAAAAAAAAAAAAACCTCCCATTATCTCAAAGCTATTTTTCATTAAGTACAAATTATGTCGAACATTTTCTCATGACCCACTGGCCTGTGTGTGTGTGTGTGTGTGTGAGAGAGAGAGAGAGAGAGACACTTGTTCATATCCTGTGCCCGTGTCTGTACTGAGACATTTGATTTTTCTCGTTAGTTTCAGAATCTCTTTACACAGTAAGGTTATGAACCCTTTGTCACTCCTGCAGCCAGTCTGGCCACTGTCTTTCAGTTTCCTGATTTCTGATGCTGGTTTTGTTTGAAGTGGGGACAGAGATCCAGGTTTTCCCTGGGGCACTGCCTCTGGGCTCAGACCCAGGGTCCCAACAAAGGGAAAGTGGTGATACCTGACCTCAGTGTGGGCAGGAAGCAGGGAGGGAGAGGAAAGGGAGGGGCAGGCCACAGGGGCCGGGGTCTCCACTCACAGGGTGCTCTCTGCCGTGTTGATGAGAAGGTACATCTCGTAGAACTTGCCCTGGGGGATGGCTCCATTGGGCACCAGCAGGCTGACTCCTACGGGGAGGGGGAGGTCAGGAGGGAGGGGCTGGAGAACAGGCATTGGGTCCTGGTCCCAGCTAGAGGCAGGGGGAGGCAGAGGAGCGCCTGGTGGTCTGGGGGCTGTGGGCAGGAGAGGCCTGGCCCCTGCCCAGAGCTGGCCTGTCTGTACCACAGGGGCCTCTGAGGTTGCTGGGGTCAGAAGGCCTCAGGGCCAGCCCTGTCCCTTGCTCGGGGTGCGACACCAGAAAGCTGGCTTTGCCACCCAGGATGGGCACCCCCACTGGACAGAGAAACTGAGGCTCGGAAACCAACAGGCCCACATGTCCCCTGTCTCGGTGAGCTCACGGGTGGGCCAGGGCTCCAGTCAGTTTTCCCTCCCACAGTCCCTTCTTGCCCCGGACCCTCACTTTCTCCATCTGTAAAACGGGATTAGGAGGCTGTGTCTTGTATAGACGGGAGCTGGACTACCAGCAAGCAGGGCAGGGGCCCACCTGTGCCAGGGATGCTGAGCCTCCCGCCCAGGCAGCCAAAGGTGCCGCTGACGCTGCTCCCTGGGTCGCGGGGCAGACCGAGCAGCTGCTGGGAGCCGAGGCTGGCACTGCGCAGGTGCAGGAAGTGGGCGTCGCGGGGGAATTCGCCAGGGTAGGTGCCGGGTGGGAGGACCCCCAGCAGGTCGGCCCCATCCGGCAGGCCCGGTGCAGAGCCGGTGGTGCCCGAGCTGTAGACCTTGATCTTGAGGTTGGGCAGGGGGTCCAGCAGGGGTGAGTTGGTCATGGGGATCTTGTCAGCGGAGTCCTGCAGGGCATACACGGGCCCACGGTAGATGCCGGCGCTGGCTGTCAGGTCAGGAGGCACAGGCGGGTGCAGCAGCTGCGGGTTGTCTGCATGGGGCGGTGCCGGCCATGAGCCCCAGCCCTGAACCTGCTGGCTACGGCAGAGGCCCCGCCCACTGCCTCTGCCCCGCCCACTGCAGCAAGCTGGGAAGCCCGGGAGGGAGTTGGGAGCCCCAGCCCTGGCCTGGCTGCCACCACACCCCTCTGGGGGCCCTGGCCACACCTGCCACCCCGGACATCGCGGGCTCCTTACTGGGCCTGGCTGTCTTGAAGTTAACCGGGTGGAATCCACCGGTGAGGGCGGCAGATGAGTCGGTGATGTCACTGTGGAAGTCACGGCAGTTTCGGCGGTACACCACCACCGCCACCACGGACAGGACCGCCACGGCCACCAGCACGGCCACCACGAGGCCCGCATACAGTGCCACGTCCCCCGAGGACTCCAGGACTGCAGGGACAGGAGGGGCCCATGAGGAACCAGCCAGAGCCCCAGGCCCGGGGGATTCCCTGGTGGGGGCACTGTTCTAGCCGGAGCCCCGCCCCAGTAGGCTGTGACCTCAGGGGGACCTGAACCACTCTGTTCAGCTTCTTCATCACCAGGGAAATGGCCCCGAGGCCCCTGCCCTGCCTCCCGTGCAGGCTGACCACAAGGCCGCAAACAAAGGCGTTCATGCTCACGGCTCACCACTGGGGCCACCAGACCCGGGCCTTAGAGCTGCACCTGCCCAGGCAGCCGCCCCGCCCTCCCCTGTTCCCGGCTTAGAAGGTGGGGGGAGGTGGTGGAGCGAGTGGAATGAGATGCCTGGTGATGGGTGGAAGGGGAGCGGGCGGGGCTCAGGGAGGCGATGCAGGCCAGCTATAAGCAACCATCCGAGGTCAGACAGGGTGGGGTCAAGGTGGGCGGAGCTTTCTAGGAGGAGGGCAATGCTGTGTATGCTGCCCCCACCCAGCCACAAGGCACGCGTGACACAAGGCAGCACAACACCAAGACTGACGTTTTAGACTCAGGGACTTATTAAGTTAAGCCTAAGTCCAAGCAGCCACATGCATGATGTGGCTACCCTGCTGCCGAGCTTAGGCGAGGCCAAGATGGCCACAGCTGCCCGAGCTGCCTGTCCGCTTTCGGACACCCGTGCAGCTCTGTGAGCTCGGGAGTCAGCCAGAGTCTCAGAGCCAGGCAGGGCCCTCGGTCAGCCCTGGAGACTTGAGCTCCTGACTCTGCCTCCAGCCCACTCCTTCCTCATGGCGCTCACTCTGGGCCCAGGGGGCCTGGCGCCCCCGAGAGCTGCCAGAGAAGCCCCCGTAGGGCCAGCAGCTCGCCCCTCCGCAGCCTCTGGCTCTGCCTTCCTAACGCCTCGCCTCTCGTGCCTGGTGAGTTACACTCTCTGATCAGCCTCCGGCCCTGCCCCCAGTGAGCCGGCCCCAGTTGTACGGCTGGCTTCATGTTCCAGAGAGATTTGGAAGCCATGGCTGAATTCCCACAGGATGGCCGGCCTGCCTGCGGGGTCCCATGGAGATGAGCCGGAGACCTGCTGCAGCTGCCGGGGCACAGCAGGGGCACGGGGTGGACAGGCGTGGTGCTGGTCCTGGCTGTCTCAGGGCGGAAGGCCGAGGGCACGGGGTTAAGAGCACTGGTGCTGATCCCACAAATTGGGTTCGAGTCCTGGCTCTGCTACTTCCCGGCTGGGTCCTGGCTCTGAGCCTCAGCTCCCTGTCCGTGATGGGGACGCAGAGCCGTGCACTGGGTGCAGGGGCTGATGTGGGGGCACCTTCGACTTGCCCTGCCCTGCATCCCACGCCCAGGAAAAGCTAGCCAAGGAGAATCGGGGACTCCCTCCCCCCACCAAAAAAAAAGAGGACAGCAGGGAAAAGGGACTTACGGTGGCTTTTGGGGTCGCTTAGAGTTCTCTTATCTGTCGAGGGAAATAAAGGGAAAGATGATGACACAGGTGCCAAGGAAGGGTGGCAGAGAAGGCGATGGGAGATGGTGCTGATGAGGCGATGGAGGCGGCGGCTGGGCAGGGAGGCCCGGGCCCGGGGCGCGCCGAGGACTCACTGTGCACGCAGAGCCCGTCCGTGCAGTTCTTGGAGTCGAGCAACGTCCCGCTGCAGTCGCGGCCTCCGTTCTGGGGCGGCGGCGCCATGCACTCGCGGCTGCGCCAGTGCGCGCACTCGGTGCTGCAGGCGGACCACTTGCTCCACTCCGTCCACGCCCCGTCAACTGCGGGAGCACAGCACACATGTGCACGTGCACAGTTAGCCGTGCACACCGCGGCAGGGAGACAGGAACCCGAGACACACATGTGCCACGCAGACGCCCACGCCGCAGCCACACGGCCCCAGGGGCACCAGGCCAACAAACAGACGCACGAGGTCCTCGGCACGGCCACCCAGCGCACAACTGCACACGCAAAGACAGAGACCGGGGGGTGGAAAACACACCATCCACACGCACAGCCACACGGAGCGGGAGAACACGGCCAGATGGGCACGGGGGACAGAGAGAGGAAGACAAGAACAGGAAGGGGATTCTCACAGGACCGACCAGGGGCCCCGAGTCTCTCCCTGAGCTCAGGGGCTCACAGGGCAGAGGAACCCAGCCCTGGACTGCAGCGCAGCAGGAGCGGAGGTAGGGCTCATGCATGGGTGGGTGGGCGCGGGCCCCAGGACAAACACCTCCCGACCCCACCCTGGGGACTCAGGACTCTTGTGACCGGGCACAGGCCAGGGGAGGCCATCTGGGTGTGGGCAGCACGTACCTGGGCACACAGTGGTGCAGGCTGTCTTCTGGAAGGCCTGGCCCTCGCAGAAGGCCCCTCCGTTGAGAGGGGCGGGGTTGGTGCAGGTCCGTGTGCGCTTCTGCCAGCCTCGGCCACAGCGGTTGGAGCAGGGCGACCAGTCTGCCCAGCTGGACCAGCCGCCGTTCACTGCAGGGAAAGTGGCCATCGCCCGCTTAGCCTGGTTCTGCCACTCTCCACTCCAGCCCCGATAGCAGCCCTCCCCAGGCAGAGCCCAGTCCCTGCCCCACACGCAGTGGCAGGCAAAGGCCAGGAGAGGGCGACACTGAGTCAGAGTCACCTGGGAGTGATGGGGGCCGGAAGCCTGGGCCTGGGGCTGGAGCCAGCACAGGGCTCCTCTGTCAGCTTTCAGTCCCCTCCCAAGGGGGAGCATAAGGAACAGCAGGGCCCCTACTCTGCTGGGGTAACAGGCTCAGCTACAGGGTCTCCAACAGGACTGGGCACTCCCCCTGGCCACTGACCTTGCTGTGTGCCCTTGATCAAGTCCCTTGCCCTCTCTGGGCTGAGGAGGGAATCTCGGGGATTCCCTGGGAGGGCTGGGGGGCATGGGAAGGACAGTCCAGACTCACCCCTCCCTTCCTCCCTCCCTTGGCCCTGACGGCCCCTCCCACCGCGAGAGCCCGCACCATAGACGATGATGGTGGCCGTGGTGCTCCGGCGCTTGGCCACGATGTTCTTGGCCACGCAGGTGTAGTTGGCCGTGTCCAGCAGGCGAGCCTGGCGAATGATGAGGTTGTGCTCGATGGTGATCAGGAAGTTGGTGTCCTGGCTGGGGTCGATGACATCCTCGTTCTTGAGCCACTCCACCTGCGGGAGCGGGTTGGGGGCGGTGAGGAGCAGGGGGAGGGGCCCACCACACAGCAGGCAGGGGAGGTCTCGGTGAACGGTACGGCAGGTGCGTCTCTGGGCTAGGCACCATCCACTCAGCACCATGAACAGCTGGGTGGTCCTGGGGGGAGACGCACCCCTCAGGGCATCAGTTTTGCCACCTGTAAGGTGCACGTATCCCAAGGGGCTGCTGGGAGGACCCCGAGTCAGGGCTTGCAAAGTGCTGAGCACAGAGCCCGGCTGCAAGCAGGTGCCGAGTGCCATCAGCTGGTGGTGCCTGTCCTGTCTTCCTCGTTCACTCCTCAGGGTAGCCTAGCAGGGCATCAAGACCTGAGGCCTGGGTTCAAATCCCAGCTCGGCCACAGGAGACAACGTCCACTGGTGGGGCAGCTGTGAGGACCCCTGCCCGGGGCCTAGCACCAGGGGGCCAGATGGGGAGGATCCCGAGCTGGGAGCCCATCTTCCCAGTGCCCTGGTGGAGAGCTCAGGTGGTCCCCTGAGCCTGGCTCTGATTCCTGGGCCACGGTGCAGGTGCGTGCATGTGTGGGAGGGAGGGGACAGGCGGGCAGTGTCCAGGGACCCAGCAGCCCTGTGGGGAGGGGAGGCTGTCACCAGCTCATGGGTGGGTGTACACATATGAAGCACCTGGCGACCACACAGCTGGGTCTTGGATTCTGGGAGCTGCAGGGACAGGGGACACCACGGCCGAGCCCGAGGAGCCCTGGGTTCCGGCCTGAGCCCCCATGGGGTCCTGCCAGGGAGGGCCCAGCTGGGATCTTGCATGTGCTGAGCTCTGCAGCTCCCTCTTCTGTCCCAAGTCCCAGGTGCCGCGGTGGCTCATGGGAAGTAAAAGATCCTGCCCCACTGTCACTGCTCACCTCAGCCACAGGCACCCCCTCTGGCGGGCGGCACTGCAGGAGCACCTGGTGGTCCAGGGGCACCTCCTTGCCCAGAGGCTCCTGGTCGAAGTTCTTGCGCAGGTCTGGGAGAAGAGAGTCCCCAGGCCAAGTGAGCTGGGGCAAGGTGGGAACCTAAAGGTCCCTGCTGTGGCCACTAGGGGGAAGTACACACCAAGGGAATTGGGGATCCCCTGGCTTTTTCCAGGGAGGGCCTCACCAGGTGATGGAGAGGGGAACAGGGCTCCCTCCCTGACCCCGGAACCCTCAGCACATAGTGGCCCAGTAGGTGACAAAGGACATTAGGCAGCCTGGGGCTGTTAGTGGCCCAGGTTCTAAGCTGGCATCTGTGTGCCCACCCCTGCGGCAGGCACCTGCAGTCAGGGATACTGGAGGCGGCCCCCATACGGGAACCATGGGGGGAAGGGAGGAGTCCCAGGGTTGGGGGGCGGGAGGGCCCAGGGGCCAGGGAGGCGTACAGGCGATGCGGACATAGGCACGGCGGCTCTTGGTGGTGCCTGCGGAGCTCCAGGCCACACACTGGCACCAGTAGTCCTCCAGCCCGAACAGCTCCTCCACCTGCTGCCGCGACACCTCGATCTGCACCTCTCGCACCCGCAGGCCTAGGAGGAGGGGAGGGGAGACACTGTCAGGGCAGCTCGGGACCCTCGCCTTGATGCCTCTCACCCCCCACCCCGAGTCCCTCTCAGTCCCATCTCCTCTGCCGCCAAGGCCCCTCACCGGGACAGTGCAGTGGCTCACGCGGGCCCTCTGCCCCGGGACCCATTCTCCACCCTGCAGCCAGCTGTGTCCTTCACCGGGCGCCAGGCGAGCCATCACCTGGTTGTGTGTCCAGTTCTCTCTGTGGGTTCTCCCCGCCAAGTCTCTGCAGTGGCCCCATGCACGTGCCTCCCCCACTCACTGAGCCCATCTGGGCATCTTCCTGGCCGCTTGCTGGCCGCCGCAGGCCACTGGACACTGATCCCAGCTGCAACTCCCTCTCTGCCTCTCTGTGCCCAGGGGATTCCCAGTCACTGTCAGCTTTGGGCCCGGCCCCGCTTCTGGAAGGAAGTCTCCCAACCCCACCCCGGTTGCCATCCTGCTCCACTGCCTTGATGCTGCCGTCGTCCCCCTGCCCAGCCGCTGTCCACACAGTGCCCGCCAGGCCTCGCAGGCGTGCTGGCCGGCTCTCTCCTGCAGAACGAGGGAAAACCGTGCCCTGGCCCACGTGTACCTGAAGAGGCTGGGGCAGGGCTGAGAGTCTGGCCTCTCCCCGGCCACTGCTCAGAGCCCACGGGCCGGAGCTGAGGGAGGGCCCCCTGGGTCACGGGGTCCTCCAGCGTACACAGGGGGAGCTCTTGGTCTCTGCCCACCCTCCTTTGACAAAGCCCTCTATGCTCAGGAGAGGAGCGAACCCACCAGGATTAGGGCACCCATCTGCAGCTCCTCCCCAAAGCTTGTGGGAGGACCGTGCAGCCCCCTCCTCCAGGAAGCCTCCCTGACTGCCTCCTGTCCCAGGATTCCTAAGGTATCCTACCCACCTGCCCTTCTCATTAACCATCCCCCCAACTCAGGGCAGGACTGAACTGGGGGTGGTGGCTACATGGGCAGGGCAGGCTTGAATCCCGGCCACACCCTCATCCTCCCGATGTGCGACCTGGGAGCTGCGTTACTCAGCCACAGCCCCCAGGCCCCAGGCCGGACCCACGTCACCAGGATCCCAGCCAACCCCTTCCTTCACCCGTGGAGAAACCGAGGCCCAGAGAGGGTGGGTGGCCTGGGGGACGCGTCCCCCAGGCAGGCCAGGCACCTTGGCTGTCGCCACACGAGGCGAGCAGAGAGGCCAGCCCGGGGCCTCTGGTCTCCCAGACTTGGGAGGGGCTGCCCTCCTAATCATGATGGCCGAGAAGCAGGTGTGGTGTGGTCTGGGCCAGGACCCCAGGGTGGGCTCTCAGTCGTCCCCTGGGCCCTAGGAGCCACAGACAGCACAGAGCGGGGCTGGGGCTTGCAGCAGGAGCCGCAGCAAAACCAGGCCCCACTGAAGCCAAGGAATGGACTGCAGGACCCCGGCTCCCTGCTCACGGCCGACAGGGCTGGCAGCAGGGCCTGTGTGCCTGGTGGCGGGGAAGGAGGAGCCGTGGGGTTGCTGTTAGCACTGCTGGCCACCTGTGAGGCCCCTTGCTTAGGCTGACCTCAGGGGGGGGCTGGAGACACTCAGGGGATGAGAGGGAAATGTGGCAGCAAGGCCGAGAAAGATCCAGAACGAGGCCCCAGGACAGGGTGCAGACTCAGCTCAGCACCACCTCGCCCATCCTCCCCAGGCCACAAGGCCAGGAACGGGGCTCAGGGAGGTGCAGTGACTTCCCCAGCATCACACAGCCAGAGAGTGAGGGCACATGGCCAACAGGGGGAGCTTCTTGCTTCTGTTCTGTCCTTTTGAAAAATACCTTTTTTAATGTTTTAATGTTGGCTGAGAAGGGGGCTGCAGATATATTTTTTATTTATTTGACAGAGAGAGAAAAAGAGAAAGAGACAGAGATCTTCCCAAGAGCTCCCACGGAGTAAATGGTTCACTCCCCAAAGGCCAAATACCCAAATGCGCTGCGGCCCAGCAGGTGAAGCCGCCACCTGCGGTGCCCGCGATGACTGGGCATGGGGGCTGGGACCAAAGGCGGAGATCGGGACCTCAATCCAGGTCGCCCACGTGGGTGGCAGAGACCCAAGTTCCTAAGCCATCATGGCTGCCCCCCAGGGTCTGCACTAGCAGGAAGCTGCGGTGGGGAGCGGGAGCCGGGAGTGGAGCCCAGGCACTCGGATACAGACACAGGCACGTTACCTGCTAGGCTGCACGCCGGCTCCGGCAAACCCTTTCCTATGATGATGATTTTTAAGTTGTGGTAAAACACAACACAGGGCTTGCCGGCGAGGCCATTTTAAGGTGTACAGTGCAAGGCAGTAAGTACATTCTGGGTGTGGTGTTGGGTCTCAGTGGTTCTGAAACTTGTGGGCTTTTTATGGGAAACAGAAAGTGGAGTAATAGACACACAGAGACAAAGAGGAAGAGGAAGAACAACAGGGACAGAGAAACACAGAAGTGGAGAGAGAGAAGAAGAAAGAGGGCTGGGAGAGGACAGAGGAGAAGATAAGAAAGAGATGGCACAAATGAAATGCAGGGGCCGGCGCTGTGGCGTAGTGGGTAAAGCCGCATCACAATGCCGGCATCCCATATGGGCGCCGGTTCGAGTCCAGGCTGCTCCACTTCCAATCCAGTTCCCTGCTAATGCACCTGGGAAGTTGGTTGATGAGGGCCCAAGTGCGTGGGCCCCTGTCACCTACGTGGGAGACCGGAATGGAGCGCCTGGCTCCTGGCTCTGGCTGTTTCTACCGTCTGGGGAGTGAGCCAGCAGATGGAAGACCTCTCTCCCTCTCTCTCCCCTTCTCTGTCACTCTGCATTTCAGCTAAATAAATCTTATGTACAAAAAAAAAAAAAAAAAAAAGACAGAAACCAAGGAAGGCCCTGGGGCTCTGGGTTGGCTGGGGTCCCTGCAGTTGCCCCCACCTCTCCATCCCAGCCCCCTGAGGTTCCTGCACTGAGAGCAGGGGCCTGGGGACAGGCGTGGAGCACAGTGGGGCAGGCCCAGTCTCAGGACGGGGAGGAGCCCCAAGGTGCACCTCCTGCACCAGGGACGGCAGGGCTCTGCCTCGTCTCAGAAGCAGGGACACTGTGCTTCATCCCACGGCCACGCTGTGGCCCCGCTCCCATCCCGGGACTCTGCGCCACCTCCCAGCCCTGCGTGTGTCATCCCTTCCCGGACAGTCACAGGCTGAGCAGCCCTGGGCCAAACTCCAAAGCACTTGGGAAAGGGGACCCTTCTGCGCTCCGCCACAGGTAGCGCCCTGGAAGCTTCGGGTCTGCAGTGTTCTGGAGTTCTGCTTCCCAGGCGCGGGCGGCTCCACCAGGAAGCCCGGGCAACGGCCCCAAGTCTGCACCAACCGTGCGGGAGGTGGCAGGGCCTTTCCTGGAGCCCTGTGACTATGTACTTCTAGAAAGGGAATGTTTGGTTTCTGTGCAAAGGGAGAGCACCTGTGAGGTCAGGGTGTACCCAAGGCGGTGGGGGCGGGGCTCCCTCTGAGCTAGGCAGGCGCATGGCAGCCGTCTCGGGACCTCACTCCCTGCCATCAGCAGGACAGGGAAGGGACGAGCACTCAGTGAGGGAGTGCAGGCTGTTGAACGCAGTCACCCCAAGGCAGGCCGGGGCAGACGGCCGACACCTAGGCGGACACCGAGGGGAAACTGAGGCCCAGAGGAGCACGTGGCTGCGGGGGCTCACCAGTGGCCTCGTCCACGCCCTCCTGCGTCACGTGGTCGTTCTGGCTGACCCACTCGCCATTGCACTTGAAGTAGATCTGGGTGGCGGGGAAGGCACGGCAGCGCAGCTCCACCGGCTTGTTCTTGACGATGTAGGCATCCTGCGGCTCCTGCAGGAAGTGGGGCAGCGGCTCTGCGGGCGCCGACGGGAAGGAGTCGGGGAGCACCTCACTGCCAGAATCAGTGCCTGCAGGGGAGGGGAGACAGCTCCGTGAGGCCCCTGGGCACCCCTCGTCCACCCTGGGGGCCACCACGGAGGGGGAAGGTGGAGACCTGCTGGAGGTGGTATGTCACCTGGGCAAGGTCTGCACGCCGGGGCCTCAGTTTCCCCATCCTGCCCATCCCGGCCCTGGGAGGCTGCGTGTCCCACTTCTTCATAGAGGGGGTCCTCGGTGGGAGGGGAGTGAAATGCTGAGCTGACCCTCAGGGTGTGGACACCCCCTCTGCCTTCCCAGCACCCTCTGCGTTAGCCCTGCCCGGCCTCATCCCTCTTCCCGTGGCAATGCCACAAAACACGATGCACCGGAAACACGCTAGAGCTGAGCTGAGCTGGAGCTCAAACCAGGGCAGCTCTGCCCTGAAGCCACAGCCGCCCTCTGCAGCTCCAGCCAGCCGGGCTGACGGACGCGGGGAGACAGCCGGAGCCGAGGGGGCTGGAGCGGGCCGTGGGGCTGCAGCCCCAGGCCTGGGCTCCCCAGCGCTCAGCAGCCACCCGCTCCCAGGCCTCCCTTCTTCAACCCAGGGCGGGAGGGGGGACCTCCTCTGACCTGCGGCTCGGCCCCACCTGCACCCACAGCCCTAGGGATGAGGACATACAGAGACTCCTCCCCAGAGGGGCAGCATGGAAACTCAGGCCGCCCCACTCCCTGGAAAGAACAGCGCCTCAGGAGGTGACACAAACAGGAAGGGACGGAAACCAGGCCAGGCCAGGCGATTGGCTGACAACCCACTTAGGAAAATTGGCTTTCCAACACCAAACGCCAAACAATCAGATGGCTGGGGACAAGCGGTAGGGGCCTGTCCTTCTCTGCTAACTGCTCTGGGAAACAATGAACTCCACTGCAGGGTGCACGTGTCTGCCCTCCCCCGGCCAGCAGGGCTGGGCCCTGAGGCCTGGATGGTGGCTGTGATCACGCATCTACTCCCCAGCGCAGCAGCCACCCTGGGCCCTAGGAGTCCCTGAGAGCAGGCGGAACGAGCAGGCCTGATGGCTTCCCTCCGTGCTGACCCAGAGAGCCTGCTGGGACCCGGGCGGTTTTGGAAGACGTGGGGATTGGCCGCACAGTGCAGGTTCGGAGCACTGGGGCCCTGGGCTGTGTGGGTGAGACAGACAGACAGACAGACAGCTCGGGGAGTGAACGGCAAGACAGCACACTGGGCAGTGACTCCTGCACCTTTAAGGGAGGTACTTTAACCTCACTGGCGGCTGCTATGGGGACAAAGGGAGATAAACAGGCAGGACTGCCTTGGTGGGGCGGGTACACAGTAGGTGCGGGAGTGGGGGGATTAGCACACAGTAGGTACAAGTTGTTGCCTTGAAACAGCCACCAAGGCTGACCTGCTGTCAGGACTTTAGCGCTGACTTCTCTAATTCTTCCAGTAACCCAGGAAGGTCCGTCCTAGCCCGGTTCTACAAGATGGGGAGATTGAGGCGCAGAAAGGTCACGCAACTTGCCCCCGGTCAAAAAGCTAACAGGAGACACAGCCAAGGTCTGAACCCAAGCAACAGGCCTCAGTGTTTGGGAGGGGCCCAGGCTCTCCCCTGTCTGTTGCGCCACCATCAGGGCGCCGGTGCTGAGACTCCCACCAGCGCTGGACACTGGCTGGGGCCCGACAGTCGAGGGCGCCCCAGCAGCTACGCAGCGAGGAGGCTGCACATCACCGTCAATCAAACGGCCCGGCGGTGTGCCCCAGGCCCCTATGCACAGCTCTCCTGGCACAGGCACTGAGGGCTGCCTCCTCTGCCAGGCTGGCGTCGTCCTGCACACATGGGCAGCCCCTAGGGTCTGTAAGCTGGGGAGGCACTGGCTTAGGACACAGGGACTTGCCCACAGCCCCGGGAGCTGAGCTCTGTGCTCACCCTGAGATCAACCTTCCTGCCTCCCCACCAGGGCAGGCAGCTCTGGGGAGAGCAGACTGGAGCCAGAGGGGCATCCAGACAGCAGAGAGCTTGTCAGATTCCACGCACAGCCACCACCAGTGTCCACAACCCCTCTAGGCTGGAGTGGGTGGAGAACAGACCCTCCTCAGGGTGAGGCAGCCCATGCCGGCCTCAGGCCGCTTATCTATGAAATGGGCAGAATGGCCTCCTCCCCCCACGCCCCTGCTACATGGGAGGGGATGGGTACACGTCCCATGCTCACCCCTCCCTTCTGGCCACGCCGCCCCGGCCCCCAAGCGCCGGCTGCCCTGGTTCTCTGCGGCACTGCGGGCTGTATTTATGGCTTTGTTTTATAACCCTAATGCGGCTCATTTATAAAGTGGGCGCAGACGCAACCAGGGAAAGCAAACATTAGCCATCCATTAGCGCAGCAGGCCCTGCATCTGGTGGCCCCCGCCCTACCACTCCTCCCTGCCCTGACACGGACACAGAGTGTCCCCTTTGGTGACACGGGACGGCTCCCCACAAAGCTGCCACACCCTTGCCAACGTCCCTCACCCCAGCATCCTGGGGGCAGACGCTGTGAGAAGGTCAGGAAGGACCTGCGGGTGGCCTGGGATTCTACCTTCAGGGGCTGCAGGGGCACACGGTGCTGGCTGGCACACAGTAGGTGCACAGCGTATGCAAATTAAATAAAGGTGGGGGTGTGAGTTGGTGATTAAGTCATTTTTTCCATGGTACTCCAAGGCCAAAAGGAAATTCTGCATAGTTAGGAATCCATTAAATAGATCCGAACAGCTTTGTAAGTATTTATATCCTAAAAATTGAGTAGCCATTTGGGAAAACACAATATATCCTTTGAGAGAAAAAAAGGCTATCTTTACTCCATTCCGAAAGAGCCACGTGGCTTATGATGAGGGATGCATGCACCTGCTGGCACCGCACAACTCCTCAAGCCTCGCAGCCAGAGTGGGCCCTGCTGCCTGCAGTGTCACAGGGGAATCTCAGGTGCCCGAGTCCCAGCTTCGCAAAGGCCTGGCAGACAGAGTCGAGTGAGGCCACGTTGACACTGCACGTGACCCCGGGCTGGCAGCTGGCATAGTCTCTGACAGCCATCCAGAACTGCTGTCTTGCAGGAGACTAAAAACGCTCCCCAGCACCCGGAGAGTGGCTGTGGCACCCTGGGGCCTCTGGTCACATGGATTTAGGAACCCCAGCCCTGTGAGCTATGGGGGACAGTGCTGAAGTCCCTGGTCCAGGGCTGTAGGCTAGGAAGGGGCAGAGCCGGGCAACAGCGCCAGGAGATCTGACCCAGATCTGCCCATGGGGCCCTACAGTGCCTACAGTGCACCAGCTCTTGGAGCACCTCCTAGCCCCAAGGGAGCACTGTCTTCCCAAGCAAAGGTGAAGGCGCGGGGCACCTCCCCAGCTGACGGGAGGACACACAGCTTGGAGCCACAGCCCTCCGTCCTCTGCCTGCCTGGCGTCCCAGGACGCCTCCCGCCGGCTCCACCTTCACAGAGAATCAAACATCTCAGAAGGGCTCCCCTGGGGCCAGCCCTGGCCTTTGCCAGGCCGGGGGTGGATTTCCCACTGGCGGGGAAATTGTCTACGTACACTTTTTCCCCTTCCAATACAGGAACTCACGTGGGCCTAGGTTGCCAAATCGCAGCCTGCCCCTAAAGACACACCCGTGTAGCAGGGTCTACACGTCCCAAGAGGGAGGCATGAGAAAGGACACACGGCTACGGGACGGACAGACACAGGCCAAGGAAGCCATGGGAGCCAGGGGCGGCCCTGGGTCTGCACCCAGCAGGGGACAGCCAGGGCTGTGGGGCCACTCTCCCTCGGGTGGCCACGTCCAGGTCCACAGCCTCCGCTTCTGCTCGCGAGTGGCAGCGTCCTCTTGGCGAATCCTTCTCTACAAAGCACATTTACAATTCCTGGCTCAGAGTGCGTGGGCGGAGCCAGGAGAAGGAGGAACCACGGCTGCTGGGCTCTCAGCGCACCCACCGCAGGCCTCAGATGAAAATGACCTCCAGTGCCTGTGGGTGGACTTCCGTGGGCACCAGTGCAGTCACCTCTTCTAACTGACCTGAACCGGCCTTTATGAAGTCTCTCGGAGGCTCCAATGCCACCTCCCCATCAATCCACATCCACCTGTGACTTACACACCGACGGGGACAGGAAACTCGACACTGCCTCTCTCAGCCAGCTTCTCCTTTGGACAGACAACAGTTAGCAAAGCCTTCCTCGCTTTCCGCTGCAGCTTGCTTGCTGAAGCCCCAGCCGTTGCTCTGATTCTGACCTTCGAGGCCTCACGGAACCTTGCGCCTCCTCCTCCTGGCGACAGCTTCCCGGTCTGCACAGGCTGCAGCCTGCCCTCCCGGGCGTCTCTGCTTTCTTTCTAGCACTCCCTACAGGGCGCAGCTTGTACCCCCTCCCCTCCATCCTGGCTGCCCGAGGCCGCGCTCCACTTTGCTCATGACCCCTGGACACAGGGGGCGGCAGGTGACCAGGGTAGGGTGGCGTCTGGAAGGCACCTGCTGCTTTGGCAGGTGTGCTCCTTAGCAGGGCGGGTGGCTGTTCCCGGGGGGAGGATGGGGGACAGGGGATACAACACGCCCTTCCTGGTGGCTCCCATGAGTTCATGTCACGTCCTGGCCTGGGAAGGGAATGCAACTTGTACCCTAACAGGACTCCGCCAGCCCCCACATGTCCTCCCAGGGCCTGGCCAGAGCTGCTGTGGAGAGGCCCACTTGTGTAACAGTGCTGGAAGCCAAGCCACTAGAATGGGCAGGAGGCAGTGGGGGGGGGGGGGGCGTTACTGCTCCCAGGGGAGGCCAGAGCAGCTCTGCTTGCTTCACCACGAACCTGACCCTGGAGTCTGGCCTGGGTGGGCAAACAGGCTGTCCCAAGAGCCAGCGGGCACGGTTCACGCCCTCCTGTGCATGGAAGGCCTTGGGAAGGTCGCTGGGGCCTCAGTTTCCCCCATACAAAAAAGGGGTGGACACTTCCTACAAGGTGCTGCTGTGAGGGCTGGCTGAGAAAACAGGTGCAAAGTGCTTTGCTAACCGGGCAGTGCA